TTTTTTGTTTGTTTTCAGAATAATCTAAAAAACTTTAGTTTCAGAATTATATTAACAAAACTAAGTTGTAATCAAATTTGCATTAAATGGTTATAATCCACACATACCAAAAAATGTGACTACCAACCACAAACTCTGTGACAACGAACCCAGTGGTTGGGTTTGGTTGTCACGCAGCAGAGGTGTTTGAAAAATGATTTTAGTATAAATATATTTAATTCAATGTCATGAAAACATTGTAATATTTACCGGAAATAGTTAAACAACCTTTGTGCAAAGTTTGGCTTTGATTAAATGAAAATTTCTTTCATAATAGCAAAAATAGATATGACACAAAAGTAGAAGGAAACTATATTTTGCACATTTATTATTCAAAAAAATAAAAACGTAAAACCAATAGAAACTATGAAAACTTTAAATAATATTTATAAGTACATAAAAAAATAATTCTGCTTATAATTATCAAGTTTATTTATACGTATGTGAACTATATATCCAATACCGTAAACCATGGTAACTTTGTACCAATTTTGATAACTTTTTGAAAAAAAAGGAACATTTACCCAAATATATTTTGATGCTCAAAGTTGTGCATTACTAATGTCATTTAATTAGTAAAATGGTGTATTATTGTATTCACCAAATCCAAGATTTTATGGAAATAATGAGGTGGTCAAAGTTACATGCAATGGGGTAACGTTGTTAACAAAGTTAGCAATGGGGTAACATTGTCATAGTAAATTGTTTTTTTTTAGCACCGAATGTAAATTAAGTGTTGTTAACCACATTTAATCTAACTTAAACTTACAGTTACCATTTATTTCAAAAAGGGTACCTAAAATATGCCAAGAAATTAAAATAGGGTCAATAAAAATTAATATAAACAGTATTAAAGAAACATATTAGTTAACATAATTTGATTTTTGTAAATTATTTTTTAACCCAATGATTAAAAAAACTTACTAATTTTTTTATTAAATGTCAGAAAAAGCAAAAAATAAGAGAATACTAAAGAATAAACAAACTATTCGTAACATAAACTCTGTTTTTTTTTAAAAGAATTAGGCATCTCTTCAGTAATATATCATAAATTCAATAGAGACTGATTCACCTTCAGATCCTGTTTCTGTTTCACTATCGTATTCTACAGAAATAGATTTTCCTGATTCAATTTCAAGTCTTTTTTTGGATATATTTTTTTATTCTTATTTTTACTTTGTGTAACATCTTTCTTATCACCACCTTCATTTTTTTCCTCATTTAATATGTCTAAAAGGCTCTGGTCAAAAACGTTACGAGGACTCAAGCCATTTTCACTTGGTAATTTGATACACACAGCATTAGGTTTAAATGGCGCCAAGCATTAGGGTTAAATGGCACTAATCCACAAGCTCTAAAACCACTTATAAAATTTTTTCTAGAACATTTATTAATGGATGTCATTAAATAATTTAACAACTTAGAGAAATCTTCTTTATGAAACGTTGCAAACATTTTACCATGAGAAGTAAGTTTCCGATCCAGAAGTATACTTCTCCATGCTTTTTAATGGTGCAAAGAATCCAACATTAAGAGGATGAAGCAAATGGGCAGAAGGCATATGAATCTAATGTTATGTTTTTTACAAGATTGAATAATTTTATGACTTAAATGGGAAGAGAGATTGTCACCTATTAATACTTTTTTCCCAGTTTGTTTCTTAACGCATAGCAATATTGTCTGAAAAAACCAATCCTCAAAAGTAACTTCATCAAACCAGCCAGATTAGATTCTATTAAAGCAAGAATTTGTTTGACCATGTGTTATCTATAAATCGTATAAATGTGCGCTTTTAAAAACTGTTTATGGTGGAAGAATTTCTCCCACACCATTTCCACAAAACATTACAGAGAAAACAAGCCTTACTGCTATTCATTATTCTCTCAAGGGTACTTAGTTCCACGTTTCATAACAACTTTTTTTATTTCCAGGGTCATCAAGCTCAAGTCTAATATTGTCAAAATAAATTTTAAATTGTTCTTTGTTTATACTTGCACGTTTTCTTTTAATATTTAATGCAATTCTATGGGTTAACTGTGGACGTTTCATAAAACCTGAGACCCGATCATCACCGGCAACATTGTTTTTAAATTTTTTTACAGTATAATTTTGGAATTTTAAATAACCAGCTACTAACATTTTAACATCAAGTTTATTTAATGGAAATCCCCAATCACACATAACCTTGATTCTAGATGAAAATAAATGCTCCTTATTAAAAGTAAATATGGTTGGTGCACCAATGCATTTTTTATGCTTTAACTTTATTTTATTATGTATAGTGCTTCTTGGTATACTAAACCTTTAGGAGGCTTGACGAACAGACATGCCTACATTAATTGCACCCATACACTCTTTCAAAAGAATGGCGTTAGAATAAGTGTTGTAAAAACATATTCTAGTGATAATAAATAACAATCAGACTACTTTTAAATGAATATTATTTACTTCGCCGAAGTTACCCCAAAAGAGTATAAATATACTAACTTAAAACGGGTAACTTTAACCACCCTGTAAAAAATCCAGAATGTTGTTACTTGAGCCAAAAACTTTTTGCTTAATTTTATCTGAACGTTTGTCTTTAAAACAGAAGAAAAACTGAGTTGTTTGCTTTCATTTTTATCTTCGCCCAGACACATTCTGTTTTATAGTTTTTGATTGTCTTTTACCAAGATGTAATTTTCATTCTTTTTCACGTATAGTAAAGAGCATTTGCAACAAACTTCAGATTAAAATTTAAGCTAGAAAGATTGTATTTACAAATAAAACAAAAATAATAAAACGTTACTTAACTGTTTAAAAATTATAGATATTTAGTTAAAATTTTTAAAAATGACCAAAGTTACCCCGCTGGCCAAAATTACCCCTTATACAAGATGTAGTTTTTATTCTTTTCATTGGTTTACGGTATAGTAAATCATGCTTATGTGTATCCAAGTAAAATGTTTGTTTAAGATTAGCAAATTTTTCTGCATTCTTTTTATATTTCTTAAATACTTTTTATTTTTATGTTATCCAAACTGACAATAAACTGAGGACATTATTTAGTTTATAAATATGAATTTATTGATAGTATAAGATAGTAGTATGCAAATATATGTAATAATGTAGAGCGTATCTTGATGACGAGACAATCGGTCTTCTGCAAGTTTTCCGCGTTCTTTAAATAATGATGACTCGTTACAATTTTTTTTTTGTATACCTATTACAACATTTGTAAATTTTTATTATATTCCGGGCGCTGATGCAGTATTTTTTGATGTTTGAGATACTTAACTTTCAGAGGAGTAAACTCCTGGAAGTTAGGTATCTCAAACATCAAAAAATACTGCTTCCGCGCCTGTATTACGTTACAATTTTTTTTTTGTATACCTATTACAACATTTGTAAATTTTTATTATATTCCGGGCGCTGATGCAGCATTTTTTGATGTTTGAGATACTTAACTTTTCAGAGGAGTAAACTCCTGGAAGTTAGGTATCTCAAACATCAAAAAATGCTGCTTCCGCGCCTGTATTCTGTACTTTATTAACGATCTTTTTCAAAAATAAATTTAACGTTGTGTAATTTATGGCTATATTCTTTAACTTTATCAAAAAGTCAAAATGTTAAAAGTAAAAATCACCAAAATGTAAAATCCACTTAAAATGGCAAAAATAATTTGCTTGTTCAGCATTTATTTAATACTTTATTTAGGCTTTTGTTTTGTTTTATTATAAAGTTTAATATCTACCTTTTTTACTATATTGATTTTTATCAATTTAGTTTTTTATTGTTCGGAAACAATGCCACATTGATAATTAAAAAAATTACTGGTAATTACTAAATTACTAGTAATTACTAAATTACTAGTAATTACTAAATTACTAGTAATTACTAAATTACTAAATTACTAGTAATTACTAAATTAGTAGTAATTACTAAATTACTAAATTACCAGTAAACGGGTAATTTAAAGTAAAAAAAATATACATATTTAGAAAACTTTGTATTCAGTTAAAATGTTTTATTGATTATCAATGATATAAAATTTAATATTTCAAAATTTACCGTTCGTTATTTTTTTAAGACTTTTGCAGCACTATATAATAAACTTATAAGAATATAAAAAACTATTATTAATTAACTAAACAATAAGAAGAAAAAAAAAATTATTGAATAAATTTTTTTAGAATTATATATACTAAATTTAATTACATTTCAAGTTTAAATTTGATTTGAGCCATAAATGAGATTATAATCTTTTAGAAAGGTTTGCGTAACTTAAAAACAGTTTTTCTAATATCTCTTCTCTAATGCGTCCGGTAGACCAATTAAAGACTTTGCCATCTGTGTTATTTTTGAATGCAGATTTGGCAATTGTTCCCAAATAAAGGATAATTTATTATTTTCTATTATATAGTATTTTTGTTTTTATATATCATATATATATGTATGTATGTATGTATGTATGTATGTATGTATGTATGTATGTATGTATGTATGTATGTATGTATGTATGTATGTATGTATGTATGTATGTATGTATGTATGTATGTATGTATGTATGTATGTATGTATCTATATACATAGATACATATGTAAAAACACACACACACACACACATATATATATATATATATATATATATATATATACTATATATATATATATATATATATATATATATATATATATATATATATATATATATATATATATATATATATATATATATATATATATATATATATATATATATGTAAAAAAACATTCATACTTATGTATATATGTTTGTATGGATGTATACCTTTTTTTTAGAATTTAAATTCACTTCTTACAAACTCAATTTCATGTGTAAATGATTTTCAAAAAGATAAAATTTTTTAAATAAAATTATTCCTTTTTATAAATAATTATATTTATGTCACTTTTATTTTGTAGTTTATATTTTAAGTTAATAAGTAATTTTGTAGTTGATGTATTAAGTTAATAATAGAACTCGTCTTTAGAAACTTATACAATATATAACTTAACCAAAATGGAGGAGCGAGTCTGTTTATTGTTTTGCGATACATTTTCTCATGATAATGAACAAGTAAGTATGTTTATTGTAAATAATACTTAAAATGAATACTTTAATAGTAAATTCATGTTCAAAGCACTGAAACTAAAAGTAGAATTTTTTTTTTTAATACAAAGAAAAAGAGTCACATTATTTATTAGTACATTTTGTGGTAATTTTTTAAATTACATACATAACATGTCTAATATAAATGAAACTGAAATTAATGTTATTGTAGCTTATTGTTAGTTTAGAAATATTCTTATACTTTAAAAAATTATTTTAGAAAATGATGCACATTATTTAAGTATTTTATACAACTATTTAACATTATTTAAATGTTTTATACAAGTACTTTAGACTATATTATTCTAAAATAATTTTTTATAGACATTAATATGTTTAATATTAATAAAGCTGAAACTAATATTATTAAAGATTTTTAGTTCAGCAATATGCTTATACTTTGTATTTTAAATTTTGTAAAATGTATATATATTTAATTGAGCTTATGAGTCAGAAACTGTATTGTTAAAAATTGTTCCAAATATTGAGTTACTGTAAAAGATTTATATTTAATCTTAACAAGAGCTAACGAGTAGTAGAAATAGAATAACAGAAATCCAAAAATCTTAGCAGATTATTTGTATCTTTATATTTTGATTAAATTTATTTATCATATGTTGAAATGCACACAAATAAGGTTGTTATTCAGTTGTTTATTAATACTCAAGTTATTCTCATTTTAAATTTAATTAATTTTATTTCATAGTGTGAGATTTGCATCAAGATTTTGCCTCTATGGTTTCACTAAACTTTAGATGTTTCTTAATTGAAATATTGTTTTTTTATTTATATTTTTTCAACTATAAATGATATATTTTTTGTATTTTTATAGAATAATATTTCTATAAAGTTAATTTTAATTACAAGATTTGTGCATTTTTATTGCTACTTTAAAAAAAATGGATATTCACTTCAAATATATAACATTATGATACAAATGCAATTACCAACTACTAAAATTAGAAGGTGAAAGCAAAGAATTTAGCAATGATACAGTACAATTTTTTATTTTGGCTGATTGTGCTAAAAAAGCTTCAGCTTCACAGATTTTCTGCCTTGATTGTAAACAAACACAGCCAAATTGCTGACACAATGAAAATGTGTTTATAATAATATATATGTTGAAACTGATCATATAAATGTCGATACTAATCTCAATGGACAGAATAAATAAAGTTATATTAACTTTGCAAGAAATTATTGTATCTTTGATCCTAAACCAATGATTTTTTTTTTAAATTTCAATTCACCTCCTTAAGACTATAAAGGCCACTACAGTCGATGAGGCTGCTTTAGTTGTGGTTACAATCCTCTCTTAACTCTATAATTCCGAAACACAAACCTTTGCAAACAAGGCCGATGTGCAGAGAAACATGTTGTTTTTTATTCTGATTCACTCCCAACAAGGCTGCAAGCAACCACTATTAAGTTGGGAGTTACTAGAAAAAAATAATAGAGTTATAGAGCAAGGAAACAGTTGACAGAAGACTTTAAAAGTTAAAGGTTATATGAGTCAGAAAAACATGAAGATGGGAGAGAGTTTCAAAGGGTTGAGCGCGTGGTGATGTGGAACGCGCGGGACATGGTGGTGATCAAATTTAGAACTTCTCACTTATAAGGCCATACTACTTCCACTACCGCAGTTATTACCATAAATTTGATTAATACCCCATGCATGATATTTTCTGGATTTCTTAAATTTAAGGTTAGTTTTTTTATTTCATATTTTTTTAAAACTGTGATATATTGCAGAATTGAGTATTGATATTTTTGTATTTTAATGAGATTTTTATAAGGTTTAAATGTTGTCTATTTTAAAACCTGTTCAATATTAGATTTTGGATAGAATGATTGTTTATATTATTATTTGTATATATTATATCTAAATAAGTTAAGAACTGATACATTTTTTATTTACATTTTGTGCAAATTTTTAATGCAGCCATGTATTTAAAATTTAATTTTGAGTAAAAAAAAATGTGTAGGAAGGAAAACCAAGAAAATAATTGCGATAAAAATGAGCTTATTTTTTTTAAGAACAAATAAAATTTAAATATTAAGTAATAAGTAGTATATAAATACAATTAAATATATAGTATATTATACAATTAAATATATTTGTGATTTTTTTAAATAAATCTTAAAGTTAAGTTAAACCCAAGCATTAACTTTAATTTTGATAAACTTAAATATATTTTAAAAATCTAAATTAAATTATATATCTTTTTTATCAGAATAAATTTATATATTTTTATTAAATTAGTTTTAAATTAAATCATATATTTTCTATCAGAATTAAATTACATTTTTATGAACTTTGCTTCAAGCTTAAAAAATCAATCATTACAATAAAATAAAAATAAACTTTTAATTTTATTTGAATTTTTTCAATCAAACATTTGTAACAAATATTTTTACTTTAACGTCATTCAAAAGTTAATGTAACTTTTTTTGAAGTTAGTTACTTCTTTTATCTTACCGCTTATAGAGTAATTTAAAAGTGAAAAAATGATAAAAAGTCGCTTAATCAAAATGTTGGTTAAGCGACTTTTTATCACGTACGCCTTAAGATTTATGTAAAATCGCTTATGTAAATTGTATGTAAATCGCTTTACGTGTAACACTTTAAAACAAGGCCTGCATATATATATATATATATATATATATATATATACATGTTATATGTTACTATAGTTATAACCAATGATAACAACGATTTATTTCAATAAACTTTTTTTTTTTTTTAATTTATTAAGTTAATATAGTTAAAAACATAACAAGATTTTTGTTGTTGTTTTGTAAACTTTTATTGACTACCATATTTATATATACTACCATATTTATATTTTACCATATTTATAAATAACCATAGTTATAGATTATTGTGTGTATGTATATATAAATATATATATATATATATATATATATATATATATATATATATATATATATATATATATATATATATATATACATATACATATACATGTATATATATATATACATGTATATGTATATGAATATTATTTTATATATACATATATATGTATATACATACTATTGTATATATATGTATATACTTATATACATATATAGTTATAATATATATACATATGTTATATATTACCATAGTTATAGACTACAATTTTTTATATTACCATAGTTTCATAAACTACCATAGTAGTATTAAAACATTTAGTTAGAAAGTTTATAAAACAACAAAAAAAAAAAAACCTTTTTATGCTTTTAAATAAAGTAACAAATTTTAATGATTGTTTTAAAGAGAGCATTAAATTTAAAATATTAAGGAATATTATAAATAAGTTATATTTAGTTTAAAAATTTTGTTAATTTTATGATTATGTTTGAATACAATTTTATGAATGAGTTTATTTTATTATAAAAAAAAATCATTTATGAAATCGTATTTAAAATCATAAAATTTATGATGAATTTTCTTTTTAAAAGAGTTCGCCTAATATTATAAAAACATTAGAAAAGATCAAAGTTTTAAAGATATTTAACCTTAACATAATTATAAGCTTAGCTAAATAATTTTCTATTAGAGTTTTAATTTTTCAGTTATATATTAGTTGACTTTTTTTTGTTAGAGCTATAGTTTTTAATTATTATTATTTTTAATTTCTTTTAATTATTGTTTTTTTTATTTTTTAATTGTTTATAATTTTCTTTCTTTGGTCTGGTTTTTTCAGCACATTTTTAAAGCATTAAAGGACCACGGTCATGCTTTAAAAAAAAAATATTATATGCATGGTCAGGTACCAAGTGCGATCACACGCATTTCCTGTCCATGACTGATATATATATACACACAAACACACAGATATATATATATATATATATATATATATATATATATATATATATATATATATATATATATATATATATAAATTTTTATTTATTGGATAATAAACAGGTATGGTTTTTGCAAAGTCAAGAAAATTTTATGTCTAAAGAATTTTTTCACAGCCCAATAAATGACGCTTGTAAAATGTATATTATTGTAACATTAACATTAAAAACATATGCTTGTAACAACTATAAAACAAAATTTTGTATTTAATAATGCTATTTTTATATAAATAAACAGATAGTTTGTTCAAAAACCAAAAGCTCTTGTAAAAAGCAGTTTAGATAAGCAATTCGCATACCGCAATTCGCTTGCCATGTTGGTTTTAAGAGAGTTTTTCTCTGCTCTTGCGCTCGTTTACTCAATCAATCAATATTTTATATAGATGACTCAATAAACAATTACAGATTATATTTTAACTATTTTATGCTCAATAATATCCAGTATGCATAAATAATTGCCTATCTCAGTATGAATAACATAACATCTATGCATATATTTAAATGGCATTTGAACTGACAGGCAAGATATTTTAAACGACAGGGAGCTATAACTTGCGAGTTGTTGTGCAATTATTATTAAATTGTTAAAACAACTATATATTTTTTTAAAATAATGTTAACAATTGTAGTTACCACTGAATGTTATTAGATTTGCAATAATGAATCCGTGTTTAGATAACATTTCTGATTTCATACTGAAATAGTCTGCTATTAGGGGCTTCAGTACACATCGACTAACTTATAGCCTGCTGCCTCAAAGAAGTGTCGCTGCATCTTGAAAACCCTGTATGCTATGAAAGTAGGAAAAACTAGTAACAATTAGTTATCTATATACGCTATAGTAGATATATATATATATATATATATATTTATATATATATATATATATTATATATATATATATATACATATTTATATATATATATATATATATATATTATATATATATACATATTTATATATATATATTATATATATATACATATTTATATATATATATATATATATATATATATATATATATATATATATATATATATATATATATATATATATATATATATATATATATATATACACACACACACATG